TGTGCTAAGTGAAATCTGAATATCTCCTGAGAAAACAGCCTCCTCTACAGCCCTGGCCAGTGGCTCTTTAATCTCCCAAACACTATTAGGCCTGGAGATGGGATAAGTTCTTCCTTGTTGCTTGTTGCTATTTCAGCCACTGTCCTCCCATCCTCCTTACAACCCTCCAGTGCCTTTAAAGTGAAGCCTTTACACTGAACTGCCCACTCCTGCTCCTGTCGCTGTCATCTGCCATTACATGTTTTCCGCCTTTCCTTGAGGATTTCGGCTCCTGACTGTGTGTTTCTTCCTCCCAGGACTCTTGCTGCCATTCAGATGACTTTGCCTTTCACAAAGACATTCCATGCACCATCCCAGCCTCTTGGTTCCTGCATCTCCTCCCTTTTCATGGACTCTCAGCTAGCTTTGGCCGTGCACTGCCCTTGTCATGCTTCGCACCTCATCCTCACTGATGACTGTGCTATTTCCAAAAGCTTAATTTCAAGCACACGACTTTCTAACCAGCTTACTTCCTCCACAAATCCCGGTATTCTTTGATCCCTCCTCCAATCCACTGAACCTGCCACCACTTTTTAACTACCACCCATCTTGTGTCTCTACTTGTGTCTTTATCAATCACTATAATCATTATATTGACCTTAATTCGTTTTCTCCTCTCTGTCCCACTTGCCTGACAATTCCTCTGCTTTGGCTGAATCCAGCTTCCCACTTACTCTCTCTGTCCTGCACCTGAGCAGCAAACATGACTAGAGAAAATAAATCACAATTTTGGCTGGTCTCAGTTAAATTTACAACCATAAACCTCAGGTGGGCTCTAGCATGACCTAGCACGCCCACTGCACATCCCTGTTTAGTCAGACTTGCCTTCCTCAATCTTCAATTCCTCCTCCCCTTACACTCTCAGCTGATGATCTTACTGTTTATTTCCCTGAGGAAATAGTTAGAAAAGAACTTTCTCATTCTTTTATCACCAATTCTAACACATATACCTGTTTACTTCGTCTTCCCTAGTATTAAAATGATTAATTCTTCTGGCTCTTAAGGTCAAACCCTCCTCCTCTTCAACACTAGACCCCATCCCTGGAGAAATCTCCAGCAACTTCCCCTTCTCTCAGCTACAGCATCCATCTACCTCCCTCCATGGCAGACTCAGGTGTACACATAAGCACATAACGTCTCCCATCTCAAAAACAGTAGCAAAAACCTTGAACTCACATTCTCCCACCAGAAAACATTTCAAAAGCATGGGTCTGTATCTTCACTTTCTCACTATCCTTCTCTCCTGAGCCTGCTCTCACTTATTTTCATAGCTCTGCTAAACTGTCCTTGTTAGGTTACCAAGGCCTTCCCTACTGCCCAAACCAGTGGGTCAGTTCTTAATATTCATGATACTCTACTTCTCAGCAACATCTGACAGATAATCGCCCCTTCTTTTAAAAAAAAAGTGTCCTTCCTTTGATTTTCAGGACACCGCACTCATCTGGTTTTCCTCTATCACACTAAATATGAACCATGCACTTATAATTCCCAAATGAGTATCTCCAGTGTCTGCCTCTGATCCATTGTCCTACAAAATTATCTCCACTTGGAAGTCTACTAGGAATCTCACGCTTAACATACCGCAAGCTGAATTAACTAACCCCCTTTAAATTCTTCCCTTCCCAGGCCTGCCCCATCTCAGTAACTAACAGCACAACCCACTCTCTCAGGCAGCAAAACCTGGGATTCATCTTTGACCCATCTTTCTACCCCACATCCCATCTATCAATACATATACTGTTAGCTCTACCTTTGAAATGCAATGGTAATTCAACCATGTTTGAACACCTCCACGGTTCACCCTAGTTCTATTCTGACCACCTGTAGTCATTCTTTGTACTTCAGTGATCCTTTTAAAACTCAGACTAGATGTTAACCTCTTGCCTGAAACCTTCCAGTGTCTACCTGTTAGTCTCAGCATAGATAAAGTTGTCACTGGTGCCCACAGTCACTCAAGATTCGGTGTCTGCTAACCCCTTTAATCCCATGTTCTAACTCTCCTGCTCATTCCCACGCAGCCACATTTGCCTCTTCCCTGGCCTCAATCATGTTCCTATGGTTTGAATGTTTCCCTCCCTAAAATCCACATGTTGAAACCTACATCCCCAATGTATGAAGAAGTGGGGCCTTTTGGGAGGTGATTAAGTCATGGAAGACTCCGCCTTCGTAAATGGGATTAGTGCCCTTATATTAGAGGTTGAAGGGCGCACTCCTGACCCTCTGCCATGCTGAGTATACAGCAAGCAGCGCCATCTATAAAGCAGAAAGTGAGCCTTTACCAGACACTGAATCTGCTGGTGCCTTGATGATCTTGGACTTATCATCATCCAGAACTCTGAGAAATAAATTTCTATTATTTATAAACTACTCATTCTAGCGTGTTTTTTTTACAGCAGCCCAAGTGGACTAACACACATGCGAAGCACAACTATTCTCATGACTTTTGCTCTTCCTGGTCACATGGCTAACTCCCTATCTTCACTCATGTCTCTACTCAAACATCACCACCTCCAAGAAAACTTCCAAGTCCACCCAACCTAAAATAGTTCTCCCACTCATCTACCTTTTTTCTCCATAGTATTTGGAGCCATCTGACATTGTATAGTCAATTCTCATTATTTGCTGATGCCGTATGTGTGAATTCACCTACGTGCTAAATTTACTTGTAACCCTAAAAATCAATACTCACAGTGCTTTTTGTGGTCATTTGTGAACACCACAGAGCAGCAAAACATTTGAGTCACTCAATGCTCACATTCCCAGCTGAAGTCGAAGTCGTCAACATTCCACTTTCCCGTTCTAGCCTTAAACTGTAAACAAATGTTTTGTTGTTGTTGTCTATTTTGGGCATTTTTTTTGCATTTTTGTTGGTGATTTGACTGTTTAAAATGGCCCCAAGGGCAGTGCTAAGTGCTGTCTAGTGTTCTTAAGCACAAGTGGCTGTGCCTTACAGAGAAAAGCTTCGATCATGCCTGAGCTATAGTACTGTTGACCGTGAGTTCATTGTCAATGTAATCAATCAATGATATAGATTAAATATGGTGTCTTTAAACAGAAATACACAAAAGTTTATTTATTGATTGGTGGACAAAAAT